ACCCCCAAACAAGAGCTGCTCATCAGTAGTGCCCTATCTCACACATGGCCAGCTAGGGTGAAGCAAAAAGCCTGGGCCTGCTCATCCACGATCTAATCTGCAAGCTACCGAATGGCCCAATATGTACCAAGGTCTTTATCTAGAAATAAGTGTCTAAAGAGTATCTCAGCATTGTGGACAGGGCCAGAGGGCAGGGTGCAACTCCAACACCTTGGATAGTGGCCAGAAGTGTTGCTGGTATCTGGGAGGGAAGGGAAACAAAGAAATGCAAACTTTTCTATCAAATGCACTTGTAAGGCAGAAAAAAATCTAAACACCCACACCAGGGGCACTAGCAAGGAAAGGAATCATTCTCTCAGATTCAGAGGAGAAATCCTCTGATCTTTCCCTACACTCCACTAGGCTTATCAGAGACCCCACATGCAGTGGATACCTGAGGCCTTCCCAAAGCAGATCCTTAGCACTCACTTTATTCCACCTCACTTCCACTGTGGGAAGTTGAATTCCATGCAGTATCTAGCCACGTCCACATATCCGTGCCCCCTTCTGTTTTCCCATTCATATCTCCACTCACCAAAGACTGAGTCCGCACTGGCTTCTGACATCACCACATGTACAGCTGTAATCAGATAGGAAGCTCCAGTCAACAGCAGCATCTCCAAGAATCCGAAGGGCTACCAGGTTGCAGGAAGAAACCAGATCATCTCTTTGGGTGCCCTACCAAAATAGAGAAGACGAACACCACACACACACAAAAAAAAAAAAAAGAAAAGAAAATCACATATGATGAGGGTATTTTATTCAGATATTGGTAGAATAGGTGTAAAATCTTGGGAATGAGGACTCCTTAAGAAGACATAAAATCCAGAAGTCATAAATGATTCGATTGGCATATTGACTATTATTTTTTCATGTTTATGATAAAAAGTTACCAGAAAGAAAACATAAATGATAGGACAAACGAAATAATTTTAATACATGTGATACATAGGTTAGTATATCTAACAGATAGAGAATGCCTACAAATTTATTTTAAAACACACTAATAGAGAAACGGGCAAAGGATTTGAACAGAAAATTGGTAAAATGAAGAAATGCAGATAGCTAACAAACCTACAATAGGAAACTCAATCTTACTAGTAGGGAAATGTAAATTAATACACAAATCAAATAGTTTTCAAATCCAAGATTGGCAAATACTTAAATAATTTAAATAAAAAAGATTTCTATTTGTATTGCTTTAAATTGACACATAACAGATGTACATGTTTTCAGGGTGCATGTGATAATTTGATATGTTCATATAATTAGCAGCATAATTGGTATATCTATCACCTCAAACATTCATCTTGTTTTCATGTTAGGAACATTCAAATTGTCCTCTTTCAGATATTTTGAAATGTACAATAGATTAATGTTAACTATATATGATCACCCTATTTATCTATTGAACACCAGGTCTTATTTCTTCTAGTTGCATATTTGTAACAAAAAATTAAAAGAACTAGCATGCAAAACTGACAAAGAGGAAGGAAATAAAAATGCATATGATTATTGATGGTGAGTGACTCTCTACAACACTTTTGAAAGATACTTGGACAAATCTTTTTTTTTTTTTTGAGATGGAGTCTCACTCTGCTGCCCAGGCTGGAGAGCAGTGGTGCGATTTTGGCTCACTGCAGCCTCCGGCTCCTGGGTTCAAGTAATTTTCCTGCTTCAGCCTCCCAAGTAGCTAGGACTACAGGTGTGTGCCACCACCCCTAGCTAGTTTTTGTTTGTTTGTTTTGTTCTGTATTTTTAGTAGAGACAGGGTTTTGCCATGTTGGCCAGGATGATCTCCAACTCCTGACCTCAGGTAATCCACCCTCCTTGGGTAATCCACCCTCCTTTGTAATCCCAAAGCGCTGGGATTACAGGTGGAAGCCACTGTGCCCAGACGTTACCTGGACAATTTCTAATAAAATCACAAATCCACATACCTATTGGACTAGAAATCTCATTTTGAGGATCTATTCTACAGATGGAAAACAAGCAGTGTTTAGATGCAAAACAAACAATGATTTTAATGGCCAAAAAAGAGGTAAAATTGTCAAAGAGAAATTTTCCACTTATACTTGCCCCAGGACATGCCAACATAAAATAAAATATTTCATCCAAAGTGGTTGAGAAAGAATGATGAAATTGAGTGACCCTACAAAGACAGACCTAACAGACCTATTGAAAGAACTTTGCTGAGCAGAGAACAATGGAAGAGACACATGGACTCATTCAACCTTTAATCAGCATGCTAGCCTGAACTCTCCCTTTCCTAGTGCTCAAACCCTCCTAACTCTTCTCCTCTGCAAAGTTCTCAGTGATGCATTCACTGATGTGTACTCCTTGCCAGGCAATTTAATAAACATTTTATTTTTTAACGCTTTTGTGGTTTTTATCTTATTATTTGGCCAGAAAAATTAAACCAAATGAGTTATGATTTGGACATATTAAAGCTGAGTTCCCATAGGATGTGTCCTGGAATGAAGCCAGCGGGCAGTTTCAGGTCTGTACCCAAACCTTGGCTTAGGTGTTTGGGAAGAAGTAGATCAAGAAGCCACCAGCAAAGAGGTGCTAGTTGAAGCCAGAGATAGGAATAAGACACCAGCTAAGCGAAATGTGTTGCTAAGAAGAAGGCTTGGGTGAAAGCACTGGGAGATTCTCTAAAAGATGCCAAAGCATAAAAGATGAGTAAATATATGATCATTTAATAGAAGCGTTCTGTTTATTCTTTACTTGCAGCCAACCTCCAATGCCCAGTGCCTCCTGTTGCTTGTAGTTTCAGATTGTATTTTCCACGTCTGTAATTTTTCCAGACTTCATTCAGGCAACAAGAGAACCATCTGGTCACCTGGTGATGAAGAAAGCATAGATGTTCTTGGAGGTTCCCCATACATTATCATTATCATTATCATGCAGCACTGCTCGGGTAGCGAGACCTGCCTCTGTGTTAAGGACTCTCAGTCCTCAGATTTATGTTAAAGGAGTATATGTTCAATTTGATTTAACTTAATTTCTATGTGGAGCCCCACCCTTGCCTCTTTTCCATAGAATCAGTGGAAGACTGAATCCCAGTATCTTCAGGTTTACCCTGATCCCAGCCCCACAGAGGCTACCTTAGTCCTTTCAGGTGAGGCATCAGCTCTCTACTTCCTCTGTGCCTTTCTTGAGAATCAACTTTACCTTGCCCAACAGCGAGGTTCACGTCGGCAATTCCAGTACTTTGAGAGGCAGACGCGGGTGAATCACTTGAGCCCAGCAGTTCAAGACCAGCCTGGGTAACATAGTGAAACCCCATCTCTACACAAAATTAAAACATTAGCCAGGTGTGATGGCATGCATCTGTAGTCCCAGCAAAGATTGTGTCACTAGACTCCAGCCTGGGCAACCGAAAGAGACCCTGTCTCAAAAAATATATATCTATTTCCCCTCGCTGCCTGCTCACAGGTCTGAGGCCCCCTAAGACCCTCTGGAGGCCTATCGTCCTTTGCTTTTCTCCACTGCCCCAAAAACTCTGCCCAGGTAGCACCATGGGCAGAAAATTTATGTTTTAAATTATCTGGGGTATATGTAATTTAGATTTGTATAAATGGCCATTCCTTCCTAAGATCTTCCTAATCCTTCAGACTCCAACACCAGACTTCCTCCCAGCCCCATACCACTGAATGGAACTCTGATTTTAGACTCAAAGGCATTCCCTCTGCTGTGATGTTCGGTCTCAGAGGCATCTGAGTGTGGGCTTTAGTCAGAGGTCAGCAGATTGGCTTTTGCTGTTGTGCTCCTCCCCTAAGGCAATTGATTTAAACAGGTTCATCTTATTGAGTGGAGGTGGTAAGGGGGAAAGTTCAGAATTTTTTTAAATGAAATATGCCAGGGAAGAAAACATCAATTAGTATTTCAAAATATTCTAATAGTTGTGTTTACTTGTATATCCAGATAAGTCTGTTGTACCCCAGACTCTTATATCAACTTCCAACTTACTATGGCCACTTAGATATACAAGGGGAACATAAGATATAACTTTTGTCATTTTGAGCATTAAAATTTTTCAGTGACATTGAACTCCTGACACAAAGGAGAATTAGAAATAACCTCAAATCTACACTGGGGCAAGACATACATGGTTTGTTTCTGTGGAGAAAACATCATCTTTCTAGTATCTCCTCACCACAGAAAAGAGTCCTCCACCAACCGGGGACCTGGGTCCTGTGTGCAGAGAGCTACAGAGCAGGGAGTAACGCCCTGAAAGCATTAGGGGAGTGCTGTCAGTTGGATGGTGATGGCTTCTGATTGTCAGTTGTAGGCTTTTATGCTAATTAGGAACTTTGTGACTTAAACTTTTAAAAAATGATTTTTTTAATTAAAGAAACATTTGTCGAGGCAGGTTCTTGCTATTTTGCCCAGGCTGGCCTCAAACACCTGGCCTCAAGCAATCTTCCCATCTCAGTCTTCCAAAGTGCTGGGATTGCAGGTGTGAGCCACCATGCCCAGCCAAGAAATAATACTTAAAAGCCCAAGGTATTTGTTAAATTTGTGAAATTAATTATATATATGTAGGTACATGTAATATGTTTGTAGAAAATAAATTATACATACACATATAATATATAATTACATTCACAAATACATATATATGTAATTATATATTATATATGTATATATGAGTGTAATGTACATATATAATGTATATATGTATATAACATATAATACTATATATATTTACATATATACATATGTGTGTATATATGTATATGCATATATGTATAAACATATACTATATGGATATTCATATATGTATAAACTTATATATTGTATATGTAATTATATATTATATATGCATAACATATTATGTTTATTAAATATGTAGTTCTATGTATATTTATATATATACAATGATTGTAGGGATGGAGGTGGGAGAAATGCGCTAGGAGAATGGAGACATTCCTAGCACCAACTAAAGCACGGGACAGACCTTTATACTTTCAGGGATCACTTCTATAGTAGGTTACTAGAGAAATATTTTTGAACAGAGTGGGGAGAAAACTCAATGATAGCGGCAGTAGCTCTCCTGAGCATGTAGCTGGCAGGTGCTGCCACCTGGTGGTAGCCACTGCTTTCTGTAGATGACTGTTCTTTTGCTCCTTGGGCAGAGAACACAAGTTTCGGGATTCCTTTCTGATGTGATTTTGTTTTTCACTCTCAGGGATTGTTCCTTTCACTTTTCCATAAAGAAAAGGGGTAACATTTAGTACCTTCCTTTACTTCAGTTATCTAAAGGTGTATTTCCTTCTTGACTTGCTCACCCTTTAAAAACTTCCTTTTTCAAGTAAAGCAGTTAGTTCTTTGCTTATTTTTAGTAACAATATATGAAATATGAAATATTTTAAAATTTTAATTTTACATGTCTTCTCACTAAACATTCACATCAGTATATATGTATCTAATTAGTTTTTATCTACTGTATAGTATCTTAAGATATGAATAAATTATAGCATATTTATTTAGCCAGTGATGTGCCACAGTATATGTAACCATTGGTTTTCTCTCAGTTCTTTCAATTCTTTGCTATAACAAGCAGTGCTTGCAATGAACATCGTTGTGTGTTTTCTGCACATGCATGAGTTTTCCTTGGAAGTAAATAAGATGTGAAATTACTGGGTCAAAGAGTATACTTTAAGTTCTAAGCCACTACCAAATTTTCTTTCAATTCAGCCCTGAGATTTTACACCCCCTGTCAACAGTGTGTGGAGTAAATAACTAGTCTCCTCTTTCTTCTTTCTCTCTGCCTCCTTCTCTCAATCTCACTCTTTCTTTCTTTCAATCTAGACAGAAGAAATAATATCTAACTACTGCTATAATTTAATTTCCCTTATTACTAACTAGATTAAATTATTATATTTCATGGTCATTTATATTATTTTCTATTGAAAATGCCTATTAATATATGTATATAGTTCAGTATTGAATTGTACATGTTTTTCTTTTTTGCATGCATGTCTTTGTATATTCTGGATATTAATTCTGGGTTGGACCAATCTAGTCATTAATTTTGCTTATGATTCGATATTCAGAAGTTATCAATACTGATATCATCAGATTTATCAACCTCTTCTTTCATCTTTTTTTAAAATTTATGTTTTAAGAAGACTTTACATACCTTTTACATTTTTATATGACTTTATATTTATATTAATTTAATTTTATTTTTTAAAAATTTTTTATTGCATTTTAGGTTTTGGGGTACATGTGCAGAACATGCAAGACAGTTGCATAGGTACACACATGGCAGTGTGTTTTGCTTCCTTTCTCCCCTTCACCCACATTTGTCATATTAATTTTATTTAACGATCAGGTATATGTTTCTGTAAATGGTTCAAAGATCTATCAACCTTTTCCTGAGTGTATAAACACTATTTATTGATTAGTTTAGTTTTCTGAACTGATTTGAACAGGAACTTTTTTTCACATACTAAATTTCAATATACATAAGGATCTTAAGATGAGAAGAAATACCTAATTTTTCACTTTTAAAATTTTTATTTTTATTTTTAAAAAATTCTTTTTGAGACAGAGCCTCACTCCATCACCCAGGCTGGAATACAGTGGTGTGCTCTTGGCTCACTGCAACCTCTACCCCCTGGGTTCAAGCGATTCTCACGTCTCAGCCTCCCAAGTAGCTGGGATTACAGGCCTGTACCACCACACTTGGCTAATTTTTGTATTTTTAGTAGAGACAGGGTTTCACCATGTTGGCCAGGCTGGTCTTGAACTCCTGACCTCAAGTGATCTACCTGCCTCAGCCTCCCAAAGTGCTGGGATTATAGGCATGAGCAACCATGCCCAGCTCAAAGTTTCATATTTTTAGAGATATGTTCTCACCCTGTTACCCAGGCTGAAGTGCAGTGGTGCAATCATAGCTCACTGCAGCCTCAATCTCTTGGGCTCAAGTGATTCTCCCACCTCAGGCTCCTGATAAGCAAGGACTAAAGGCATGCACCACTACAACTATTTTTTTTCTCTCCTACTTTTGTAGAGGCAGGATCTCACTGTATTTTCCAGGCTGGTCTCAAACTCCTGGCATCAAATGATCTTCCTGTCTTGGCCTCCCAAAGTGCTGGAATTATAGGCATGAGCCACTGTGCCTCATCCTGAGAAATCTTGAAGTAGAGATACAACTTTGGGAGAAATTAGCATTTACATGATATTTGGAGGATATAACAAGGGAAATCAGTTTCCTTCAGGTACTGCGTAGAATTAGAAGAAAATAAAAGTGACAGAAGACACAACTGAAGGATGACAGGGCATGGGGTAAAGATACAATGTGTGCTGCATCGAAGCTCCCTGTGGGAGCTGTATTCCTACACTAGGAGGGCATAGAAGCCCCACCTAAAGTACAGGCTTCAACCTTCAGATTTTGCTCAGATCATCCAGTGGCTCCTGTGGCTCTAATTTGTCCCTTCACATCCCTGAGGGGAGCTTAATTCAGAGCACCACTCCTTCCACAAGTGTTGCTGGAAAGGAATTAAGTTCTAGCACTATGGTGGCACTACTGACATTTTCAGCATTCAGGCCACAAATGCAAAACATACAAGGCCAGTGCGCAGTGGCTCATGTCTGTAACCCCAGTAGAGGCCAAAGTTGGTGGACTGCTTGAGGTCAGGAGTTCAAAACCAGCCTGACCAACCTGGAGAAACCCTGTCACTACTAAAAATACAAAAATAAGCTCGGCATGATGGCATGCGCCTGTAGTCCCAGCTATATGGGAGGCTAGGGCATGAGAATTGCTTGAACCTAGGGAGGCAGAGGTTGCAGCAAGCTGAGATCATGCCACTGCACTCCAGGCTGGGTGACAGATCATGCTAGTGCGCATTGCACTCCAGCCTTCACAGAGGGAGACTGTCTAAAAAAAAAAATACAATGTTAGAAACATTTTGGACAAATGCATAATTGTCCTTCTGAAAATGCCAAGAACACATTCTTTGAGAATGCCAAAGGCTTCAGGGGAGAGAATGGGTATAATGATTATTTATGGGGTAGACTCCACAGGACTTGGTCTCAGCTGGATGATCAGGGTAAACAAGAGGGAGTAGTCAATGAAGATTCCCAAGGATGTGGTATGCACAGCTGAGTGGCTGTCTCATCCAAGATAGAAAGACAGAAGCAGGTCTGCATAGGTAGGAAATGTTAATTTAGTTTAGAACATTGTGAATTTGAGGTCACTGTGGGGAGATTGTGTGAGGATGCCCAGCAAACCAAGAGTCTCTGGACATGTAAGAAATGGGTATGGAGAAAACTCATACACAAGAGACAGGGAACAGGCAGGCTGAGATGTTCATGTTCATGGCCTACATTAGATGTCCATGTTCATGGCCTACATGTTCACATGGATTAGTAGCATCTGAGGGAAATGCTCCAGCAACACACACAGAACCCTGGTTCCTAAACCAGCCATGGTTCTCCAGTGCAGCTTGCCTGGGACCTTGAGGATCCAGCATGCAGAGAGTCCAGGCTGACCTTGACTCTCCATGTGGGCCCTCCCTGACGTGGAGCTGAACCAAACCTTGGCAAGCTGAGTACAAATTCAGTAATGCTGGAGCCTTCATAACCCATGTCTCTCCTGGGGAAAACAGCAGGGAGTAGGAAAGACAGTGAAACCAACTAATCATCAAGTTCTATCACATGTGCATGGATGGCCACAACTACCAGATCTCATTTGTGTCGTCAAGGACATGAACTTGATATGGAATATGATGTGTTCAGTGTTATATGAATCCTCGGCAAATTCACCTTCACCCTCCCTCTACCTACAGGCTGCTGCATCTAGCTGCTTCTGCAACAAAATCTGGGCTGCCACCAACCTCATCACTGATGCTTCCAGGAGCTCGTATGCTTGTTGTGAAGCCTTGCCAGGGTCATGATGTTGAATACAAGCAGGAACTGTTCTCTGAACATTTCTCTCTGCTGAAGAAATGTGGCCTGTGACTGGCTGTCAGGCCACGATTTATAGGGTAGCAACGTGCCCCTGCCTCTGAATTCCTAAGAAGTTCTACCCACTATTGTTCAGGGAGGAAAATGTCTCTGTTCGTTTCTTTTGTTTCTGCTCATGTGTTCTTCTGCTGACTTCAGATCACTTTTGAGCTTTTCCCTCTTCAGTAGCCTCCCTTACAAGTGAAGGATGGCGTCCTAAAACTCACTTTCTCCTTTCTATGACGATAACTACTCTCTCTCCATTGTCAAACCAGGAAAGAGACCCACAATTTAAGACAGGCCTTGCTGAGTCATTCACAGAAGGCTTTCAACAGGGAGTAGCACATATGCCAAATGGGTGAGCACTTCTGGAGCTCACTGCTCATTTTTTTTTTTTCAAAACATCTTTGTTCAGTTTTTCAACATGAGGTTCTCTCACCACCTGCATCCAATTCTCCTGGGACACCTGGTAAAACTGCAAATTCCTGTGCTTCGCCCCAGACCAGATCTATTCAATCCAATCACTAAGGGTGGAGCCTAAGGCTCTCCAGATTATACAAGCACTCAGGTGAATTCTTAAGTACACAAGATTTGAGAACCACTGTTAATAGGCTGAGAATTTTGATAAAAGATTAACATCTGGTTTTATTTAATTCAGCCTCAAAATATCTCAGAGTAGTGCAAAGCTAGAATTTTTCCTTCCTTTTCTTTCCTTTTTTCCCCCTTCTTTTCTTTTTTTTCTTTTCTTCTTAACAGCAAAAGGATTTCTTCAAATGTGATCTCAGTCAGAGCTGCGCTGGCTGGGGACAGAAGGGTTAAGGATTGGTGTTCCGCCCTCTGATTTCTACCTTAGCAAACTTTCTCTCTTCCCTGCCCTGAAAAGCACAGATTTAGGGATTTGATAGGCCTGGTTTGAATCAAACTCTCATCACTCATTTGGCTGAGCAAAGTGAACTTGAACAGTTATTAAACTAATGTTCTTTTTTTTTTTTAGATGGAGTTTCGCTTTTTGTTACCCAGGCTGGAGTGCAATGGCGCGATCTCGGCTCACTGCAACCTCCGCCTCCTGGGTTCAGGCAATTCTCCTGCCTCAGCCTCCTGAGTAGCTGGGATTACAGGCACGCACCACCATGCCCAGCTAATTTTTTGTATTTTTAGTAGAGACGGGGTTTCACCATTTTGACCAGGATGGTCTCAATGTCTTGACCTCGTGGTCC